AGAGGTATTCTATCTAATTCAACAATGTTTCATAATAACACTATATTTGTGGAGGTATTCTATCTAATTTAACAATGTTTCATAATAACAGTATATTAGTAGAGGTATTCTATCTAATTCAACAATGTTTTATAATAACAGTATATTAGTGGAGGTATTTTATTCAATTCAACAATGTTTCATAATAACAGTATATTAGTAGAGGTATTCTATCTAATTCAACAATGTTTCATAATAACACTATATTAGTAGAGGTATTTTATTCAATTTAACCATGTTTTATAATAACACTATATTAGTGGAAGTGTTCTATCCAATCCTAGTGTAACGGAAGCGGCTGTCTGAGTGAGCTAGCGCAGCAACTTGCAATCATCATGGTTGGAAAACAAATTATAAACAACGCACAGGAAATTCTTGTTCCGTAAGTATTTATGGTCTCCTTTTATGAGAAAATTTACGAAACTAGAGAAACCTACTTGCTGCCTTTGTATTTATTGTTTTACGCATCACGGGTAAGTTAAACATTATTATTATTGATATCAAGGATCTTTTAACATTGGAGAAAATAGCCCAACAGAGGTCTATCCGTTTGCCCTTGTCCATTTTTTCTTGTTTAAATGTGACTTCATCACCTTACACCTTCTTTTATTTAAGTTGTTATTTTTCAGTGTGATAAATAAAAGTCCTGGCAAATCTACACGGGTAAAAAAAATTAGAATATTACTAATAGGTTATAACACAGTATAAAATTGCTGTTATTTTAAAAATACTGCTTAATAGTACATTGTTATCGATGTTGGTTTTCGATAGATAATAGATTTGGACAGCAAATATCTTGTTAATATTTTAACGTACGTCATTACAGATGACAAGAAAATCTTGTTGAATTAGATAGAATACCTCCACTAATATAGTGTTATTATGAAACATTGTTGAATTAGACAGAATACCTCCACTAATATAGTGTTATTATGAAACATTGTTGAATTAGATAGAATACCTCCACTAATATAGTGTTATTATGAAACATTGTTGAATTAGATAGAATACCTCCACTAATATACTGTTATTATGAAACATTGTTGAATTAGACAGAATACCGCCACTAATATACTGTTATTTTGTTTCATAATAACACTATATTAGTGGAGGTATTCTATCTAATTCAAGGTATATTAGTGAAAAGTGAAAAAACCAACTGTGCAAAAATGAAATAAATACCTTGATTTAAACGACCATTTTGTGTCTTTGTTATTTTTCAAGTACACCCGTGCATTCAGTACTGAGAGGCCTTCGAAACCTATTTGCGCGAAATTCAAAAACAAACAAACAAAGAAATCACATTTGTATTTATCCGCACTGTAATTAAAACTACTGTACGAATCAAAATTAAACACTTTCTGTAATATAAGCAAGAATGTGCAATCCAATTTTACTGTAAGATGATCAAAGAATAGGTTTTGGTTTTGTTTGTTGTTAAACACAAAGTTTGTTTGTTTTTGAATTTTGCGCAAAGCTACACGAGGGCTATCTGCGCTAGCCGTCCCTAATTTAGCAGTGTAA